GGCCGATCCATGCGCGCTAAGCCGGTACGCTTCTCAACCGCCTGCATGGGGGCGTCGTCGTCGTCTTTCGACCGGGTTTTCCTGTTAATTTCACATGTCTATGAGGGCCTGGGGCAGCACGGGGGACCCAGCCAGCCAGGCAGCGTCTCGTGCGACGGGGCCAAGTCGCCAATCCTCGCATGAATCGCTGTCGGGATATACAATTGGCTGCCGTAACGTGGTAGTAGTAGTGGTGATGGGTTTGCCCGGTCAGCGAATCGCGGAGCAAGGCAAGGAATAGTAGCATTCTAGAAATCCTTACGCCTCTTTTCGGGGCGCCGCCAGCCAGCGAAATGGAATATTTCGTCGGGAGGGGTCCGTCCCCTTCGACGTGCCTGGATAAATGGCAGAGTAGCATCGTAGCCTATGGTGAAACTGGTGCTGCAACTCTGACGCCACGCCTAGCGACCGCACCGCCCAAGAGACCATGGATGCATAGTCGTCAATATCAGACCGCCGGCCACAAATTAGGGAAAACCTATATGTATCACCTATGAGGAAAAGGGCGCGAGCGTGCCTTTATTCACGCAGGCGCAAGCTTCCCAAGCGCAGGTGCGTGAGGCGCATTGTATGTTGCGCACAGCTATAATGCTACAGCCCTCCGGCAAGGGGAAGATCGCAATTTGGGTCCAGAACCCCTGCCCGGCCTTCTTTCTTGGCGATGAACACCACCAGCCAGCGTCGCGGGCTAGAGCGTGCCCCTCAACCAGATCCTTTGGTAATTTACCGTGATACCGCTCGGTCGCTTGATCTTGCCCACGGTGACCGTTTGGGGGAGTTCGTGCAGGAGGGTCCGGGTTTCACCTGGGCTGTAGGTCATCGCATCTGGTGGCCAGTATTGGCCACAAAACTCGGCCCTGCTTGGTTTGTCTAATGCACGCGGAGACGGTTTGGGGGCTTCTCTCTACCTTATGCTACCCAAGATAGTACCTACTATGTACTAATGGGCAAACAGCTGCCCGTTCATCTCCCACCTTTGGTTAAGAGCCCCTACCGAAAATAAGGGCCCCCGACACCAGTGCGACGAGCAGGGCCAGCCTTTTCCCCCCTCCCACCTTAATCTCTGGCCCCATCTCACCACGAAGCCGGGTGCGAAAATCCGATAGTGATCCCAGAACTACCAGGGTTGAGGTGTAACCGGGGTGGGGGGGGGAGAGGGAGGGCGGCACCATTGGACTCGGACCTTGTGTGATTCGCATGCACGCACAGGTACTACATGCCATTGTAGGGAATCATGTGAGAAAAGTGATGCGGCTGACCCAGCATCTGACGATGGGAGAGACGACGGGACACAATGGAACCTCGTCCAATGTGGGAAAGTAATAAAGAGCGCAAGCATAGCGAGGCGATCTTTGTTTCGGCTCGTGTGTCAGGACCACACACATCGTTCTATAGATAACTCGCATTGCATGGCCTACATGAATAAGGGAAATAGCCACACACACACGAGGCCGGACCACGATTCTGGGCCCAAGGAAGCAAGGCTGGCACACAAACCAATTTTTTTTTTCTTTCCTTCTCTCCCTCTCTTGTGCTAACCGGTGCCGAGTGCCCGAGTCGAGTTCGCTCGAGAGCCGCAAATTCGGCGCCAGCCACGGACAAGGGGGGGGGGGGGGGGGGGAGCCATTCCCTGCGGAGATTGCCACGTTTTTTCTCTTCCTTCTACGCTGGCTACTGGTTGGGCTCTGGCCCGGTTTTAATCGCGTGGCCTCAGAGATTCCGGTGGTGACTTGTGTGGCTATAAGCATTGGCAGGTAAGGGCACTTTGGTCATTATTCATCGCCTTCGGGTAGGATTGCGCTCCTATTCGATCAAATTGTGGGAGGGCTGCTACGGACGGGATGCGCTGCACAAATGATCACCACGGTGGCTGACTGGGTCCGCTATTTCGTCTCTGCATTGCATGGATTGGAGTCAAACAAGCGGGAGAATGAGGTAGGTGGTGGTGGTGGTGGTGGTGTGGTGCAGCTCGAATCAGCGCCCTCGCAAAGAGATTGATGCTAGTCGTAATGCGCGCTCGCTCGTGACGCTGAGTCTTGCCTTTCTGCTAATAAGCTTCGCATCTTCAGTCAATCAGCGATGACTCGTGCTCGGAAGTGCCCAAGGAGGCAAACTGACCGTGAGCCCGACTGCGCATTTCTGCCCTCTCTTGACACGCGCTTAAGCGTAATTTCCGGCGCATTTCCCGGGGATGCCGATCTCCAAATTTAGTGCCTTCTGGAAGGCTTCCTTGAGGCTCCAAGGGCCCCTTGCCAGGCTCTTGCAAGTTCCCCCATGTATCTGCCTGTAGGGACTGACCTACCTGCCGGACTCTGGCCTGGCTCATTACTAGAGCCACTGCATGCCGGTCCAGGGACCTAATTACCGTGGCACGGTAGGGGCACTTGGGGTCGTAGGGGGGGCAGGTACATAAGGTTGCAGTGCTAACTCAGTAGCCCTCTATCAAGTGTGCGGTTCCGTCCTCGGGGCGCAGGGCCACTGTCACCAATACAGCAGCCACCGCAGGCTGAGGTTCAGAAAGGCGAAGGGGTCAGACTTTAGGTCTTGGCGAACTCTGCTTGCGCGAGCTGGAATTCCTCAGCGAGTCTCAAATGCTATTCTCAGAAATGCTGCCCGCCGCGGGCTTGAAACCTAACCCCCCGCGGATCGATCGTTGCTGGGTCTCTCTCTTCCCTCTCGTCGGTGGTTGGTCACCCTACAAATTGCCAGGTACCGTCAGCCAATGCGCCGTGACAAGTATCATGCCTTCGAATCCATGCGTCCATTCATCTTAACCCCAGCCCGGACCAACCTTCCGGGATTCCTGACTCGAGAATAGTTCCCCAAAATGACGTGAAGGAGGACCCGGGTTATTGGGAATGGATTGCCCCTAGAAGCACGCCGGTACTGATTGGGCCTGGTCTCGAATGGTTATGTGATCTCTAGAACGAAGCTCCGGTCCGGGTGTATCCACCGAGTCTAGGCAGGCCACCGCTCATACCATCGACGAGGCCGGAGCCAGTTCCAACATCAAGGGGGGGCCTAAGCCAATAGTCTTTCACTCTACCACTCTTCGCATTGCAATGCCAATGCCAATGCCAATGCCTACTATCGATTAGCAAGGGAGAGTTGGGGTTTCTCCCCTGCCCTAGACGTAGCTGTAGCTACCCATGAAACCCAGGACTCTCTGGGGGTTCGTCGCAAGGGGTTGAGCGACGATGAATGTCACTCCCTTGCATTAGATCGAAATGTTGGTTCTTGGGGAACAATAAGCCATCTCGATGTCTTCCAAATATGCCATATCTCCCGAGATTAATATGTCTTGGAATTGGGCTAGCAAGGGACTCCCATTCATAAACAGCTGTCCATTCCGTAATCGGAGATAGTAAACATGGGCCAACAACGACATATTCCAATGTCTATAAAACAAGAGTTACAAGAAACGACAGACATATCCAATTGACACGTATAGCAAGGGCTACAGTTTCCTAATTGGTGTGTTTATCATCGTCAATCGTACGCTATTGTTTTCCAGGGTCTGGGCGCGACGTTTGATATTTGATGCTAAGTTTATACACCCATCTGCAGGGTGTAAGTAGCCAGTCCGTCTCCAATGAAGGAATGCTCCAGGCAGAGGAGAGGTCTAAACTGCCTGCCTGCCAGTCAGCAACATTGGGCATAGTTCTACGGGTAGGCCCGTCTGTTCCCGTCTTCTGATCTTAGATGGTTCAGGAAAGCCGATGACTTCAATCGGAACGATCCCAGACACAACAGCAGCAGCCATTGCAAATCAGTCATCGACGGACGATTTGGGCCGAGACAGTACAAGAATGCAGATGTTTGCCTTTCCAATCCGGAGTATCGGCTGCCTTCGAGGGTGCATGCCATCTTCATTCCAGTTGATATTGCCTGATTGCCAGTTTCGGTATCGCCATAGCCACTAGTCGAGGGAGTGCAAAGCATGATTCTCAGACATCACGAACCCCAGAGCAGACATAAGCCTCGGCTCCGTGGCTGTGATATTGATCTCGTCGAAAGCTAAAGCCAAATTCGAAGAACAGACACAAGAACTCGGAGCCAATCTTTCCGGATCATGTACGCACGCCATGTCGGAGTGACAGCGGCTGGCAGATTCGCAGCCCCGTTCTGTATTTTTTTTCTTTTTCAGTTTGCGTCCATGCTTACGTTAATGTCGGGGCAAACTTCAGTACGTTAGGCACATATTGCCACGCGGAGTAGCCCAAATCCAATAATTATAATAAGCGAACAAACGTGGCTAGGACTTGGATTTGAGTTGAGTCCCCGTGCTATATCTCCAGGGCATGTGATTCACCTGTGTATTACGCCTCGGGACTGCATCGGTAAGCTCTCGACCTCGGAATGTGATAAGGGTTGAGGTTCAGACTGTCCAAAGCTTCGGGCATACGACACAACTGGTAAGCTAATGCCTTCCAGCCTCGCGATCACGAGGTGAATATCTCGGCTCGGCGACCGTGTTCAGCCACTCTTATATGGCATTGGCAGCTGACGGCGAAGACGAATACGATTGTGGCTGAAAATTCCGAACCTGATTGTTGATTGTTAAGCAGTTATGATGTTAGATGTTAGATTTAGATTATACTTTGTCGGGACTTCCGCTGAGATACGTAGACCTAGGAGCCTAGACGCATCACTTGTGGCGGGTGGTTGAATCGCTTCAGGGTAGTTCAGATTACTTGAATCTAGAGAGGTGCCTAATCAGAGTTGCTGAGCTGAGCTGGTCCAGGGTATGTACCTTGAGTTGGTGGGGCCTCAACTTGGACCGCGTGCCAGGCATAGGAGAGCAGCTACGTGCTTCTTTCATCAACACGAACGCAGGTTGCCCGACAACCAAAGCAAATCATCGATTTCAAGAACACCAGTATCCATTCGCTTATTCAAGAAACAAATAATCCCGTCCTATCGAGGAGGCGACGGTGCCTCACCCAGAACCCTCCTTCAAGATGGAGCCCCGAGCACGCGCCGGCAAGAATGTCGGCAAGATGAACTTCTCCCACAATGAGCGTGCGTCGCCTCTCTTCTCTTTTCTTGCCTCCGACGATCAGAAATAATGTGGCTAATCATATACTACAGTTGCTCAGCTGCTCTATGCCCACGGCGATGTCAAAAACCCACTCCCAGAGACAGTCCGTGTCCTGGACGAGATCTTGACCGACTTCATGCAATCCATCGCCTTCGAAGCCTCGCGTGCTGCTCATTACTCTGGCCGGCAGAAGATAAAGTATGAAGATTTCGAGTTCGCGTTCCGCAAGAATCCGGCATTCTTGGGCAAGGTGCAGGAGGTCTTCGAGAAACAAAAAGAGATTACCAAGGCCCGTCACCTTCTCAGAGACGGCGAGGATGAGGTCATGAAGGACGCGGCCGATGAAGAGAAGAAGCGGGGAAAGACGTCTACGAAACCCGCCAAGGAGGAGGAAGAGTTGGGCGAGGCGGACGATGATGCCGATGCGGAAATGGATGCCCTCGGAAAGAAGCGAGGTTAAGCACCGACATGTCTGAAGATGGAGAGATCGGAGGCCGCCATACGACAGGGCCAGCTGTCCCTCCTCTGCTTCATGAATACGAAATGACTATACACAGCACCGGCGTTCAATTTGGGTCTGTTTGAATTCAGGGTTTCACGGAAACGCGGCACACGCGTTTGACTTGAGAGAGGAATCGGGCGTTTTGACGGAAATAGAGGAATGAAAAATTATCTGGCTTAAGCCTTCCTTCACACATATTGGGGTTCTCATGATCGATATTGGGGAAGTGGTCAGCCGCTGCCCTACATCAAGTAGGTTCCTAGCTATTGTTCCAGGCCCGCCGAGCAGGATCTCTATGGTGTATCAACGGCCCCCATCGCAGGATATATCTCTTCACGATGCTAATTAATCAATCGAGATGAAACCCAGAACTATAAGCAGCACAAATCTGCAAGGTTATCTGACCATGAGGTTACACGGCATCGTTGGATTTAAGTAGTGATGGCGGCTGGTGGCTGACCTAGGCTGGGGAAGCTCTGCCACATCTGGGGATTGGTTTATTTATGACATCTATCGCCAGCGAAGAGATTGGTGGGTTCAGACTTCGGTTCTGAATGCCCAATATTTACTAACTCATTGCGGGCACATCCAGAGAGAAGAAACTGACCGAGAAACAGCGTCAGCCAACCGTAAGACGCAACCTGCGCCTACTGGTGCTCATCCAAGAAGTGGTTGGCTGACGTCGTTTGGGAATAGCACGTCTAGATGATACAATCAATCGCCACACTATGGCTAGCGCCCGGTAGCCCAGCGCAGCCACACCGTTGTCCAACCACGACGACGCCTACCAGTCAAAAGAAGCAGGGTTCCTGCGATATCGGGCCTGGGCAGACCTGCAGATGCCCAGCACCGAGATTCCAGGTGACGGATTCACTTCGTCTGCATCTCCTCCCCAGTTTTCTACTTAGTAAGGCACCTCGCAAAATCGCCGAATGGCTGGCGATGGTCACCTGGCTAGTAATAAAAATCCTCTTACCAACAAAGGCAGCGACTCCACACATCTAGAATCGCTTGTGCTGGGGAGGGACCCAAGGATTCCCGTCGGGTGGTAGCTGGTCTTGGCCCTGGATGGACGGTAAGATCGGCTCCAGTTGGGGTCTGCAAAGCCAAAGCCTTTTCTTCCGCGGTTCCCTTTGCCACCATTTAAAGCATCTTTACCTCTTCCTGTGTACTCTAGAGCTGCTGGCCTCTCTGAAATATCATTCCTGGCTGTAGTCACCTGTCTCTTCTGTGCTTGATCGATCTATCCACCATTCCGATACAATCCTCGTAAAATTCGGAGCAGCGCAATGAGTGAGGAATTTGCGGCCCCGCCTCACGGCAGTGCGGAGAGCCCGCACTCGCCTGATTCAACGACGAGTAGAACATTGACTGGCGATGACTCGCAACGCCAATCCCGCAGAGATCTTCTCTCTCCCAAGAAAGGCGGAAGCACTCATGTCTATCCAGTTAGACATTTGTCGCCCAGCCCTGCACCAAGTTCCCGCCTGTCAATAGATTCACAGCTCTCGACTCACCACAATAATGGTCCGGTCTCACCATCTTCCGAGGGGTCTCCCCTCCAGACATTTTGGATACGAAACAAGGGTGCTATCCTAGTTGCTGCGTCTCAGCTGTTTGGAGCGCTGATGAACTTGAGCGCTAGGCTTCTTGAGCTGGACGGCGAAGGAATGCATCCGGTACAAGCGCTGTTGATCAGGCAGGCGCTGACTTCTATCCTGTGTCTGCTTTACATGTGGTGGATGAAGACACCAGACGGTCCCTTCGGCCACAAAAGCCTCAAATGGCTGCTCCTTCTCCGCGGGTTTGGTGGGTTCTTCGGTATATATGGGTGAGTGATCGCAGTCTTTTCAGCCCACCTCACCTTACTAGGCAAGCTAACTCGGAGTTCAGAATGTGGTATTCGATGATGTACCTACCCCTGGCAGACGCGACGGTCATTACCTTCCTGGCTCCCGGGATCGCAGGTTTCATCTGCTATTTCGTTCTCAAGGAACCATTTACCCGCATTGAGCAACTCGCCTCCCTGGTTGCTTTGGCGGGCGTTGTGTTGATCGCCCAGCCGACGACATTCTTCGCGACCTCCAACGGCGTAGATCCCACGACGGCCGAGGCAGCGGAAAATGCGGGCCTTCCGGGGCTGGACCACGAGGCAACACCACGGGAGAGACTGTTGGCTATCGGCATGGCGCTCGTGGGAGCTCTCGGGGCTGCGACCGCCTTCACCACTCTGCGTGTTATTGGGAAGCGAGCCAGCCCCATCATCTCCGTGAACATGTTCGGTCTCATCTGTACCGGTATCTGCAGTGTCATCTTGTTGAGTGCGCCCTACCTCAACATCGACCAGCCAGCGCTGAGGTGGGTTTGGCCTCATGCGTTCAAGGGCTGGGCCCTCCTCCTGTCGCTCGGGGTGTTGGGTTTCGCGCTGCAGTACCTGTTGACTGCGGGCCTAGCGGCGGACAAGTCGAACAGGGCCAATGCCATGGTTTACACGCATATGCTGTTCGCAGCCAGCTTTGACCGGTGGATCTTCCATCACGAGATGGACCTGATGAGTTTCGGCGGGTGCGCCCTCATCCTCTGCAGCGCGATCGGCGTGGTATTGATGCGCAAGCCTCCGCCGCCCAAGGTGGACGATGTTGAGCGGCAGGGAAATATTGTCGGCAATGGCGAGATGTCGCCCATGCTTGTGGGTGTGGGTGGGAATGGCGATGACCTGATCCTTGATCGACTGAGATAGACGGAGGAGTCAATCTTTTCTTTCTTTGTCTTGTGCATGAGGTACGATTAGAATGATACATGCTGAGATTTAGACTATGTGATAGCGTATGCATATATAATGAATGGTTTTGGTTCTACTTGATAGGATACGTTGACGAAGTTGCGTTGTTAGGCATGGTGGTGTAACAGTGGCTGTTTCATTGTGGCTGCGGCTCTGTACCTCCTTGGTAGTACCTAACGTAAGCGGCTCCATGAAGACTCCAACAACATCAAGAACTACCCAGTAGATATATAGATATGCAGTGTAAGCTACCAACGAATGACTATCAACCAGCCGGGTTGTAGGATTATTTCAAAGAGCTAATGCCAAAGTTCCCATCTTCGCGTTCCTCTTGCTTCAGATAATGCATGCAATTAAACTCGAATTTCAAGTAAATTCAAGAGAGAACAGGAACCACAACCAGTCATACCTATAACTACCTATCAATTCAGTACAAACCAACATCAAGAAAGTTGATGTCCGTCAGAGTACTGAGGAACCAAGTATAGGGTAGGGGATGAGATGTGCATCACGTGACCAGAAAAGGCACGTTGGAGCTAAGCAGTCGCGTCTCTAATCTCAGATAACGTCTCGTTGGAAGAAAGTAATATACGAGCAAGCTAGCTCCAGGGCTGCGACATCCAATTGCAAATCTTGCCGAATCTCCCAACCCCGAAATTCCATCACCGACCGAAGAGCGGTTAATACCGTTGGCGATAGAATCTATCAACAATCACGATTGCGATCAAGTCAAAAAAATCTTTTTATACTGCTGCTTTGAGGCGACGAGCAGAGCGCAAAGATGGTGCAAATTAGCGAAGTGAAAGGCAACAAGCGTGACAACCGCACAGCTGCCCACACCCATATCAAAGGCCTGGGCTTGAAGTCAGATGGCTATGCTGATAAGCAAGCTGCTGGCTTCGTTGGCCAGGTTGGCGCACGAGAGGTACGTGTACGTGAAGATGCAGGGCTGGGCTATCGCTAACTGGTCGCGTTTCGCAGTCATGCGGTGTCGTGGTAGATCTGATCCGAGCTCACAAGATGGCTGGCCGTGGCGTGCTGCTGGCAGGAGGACCCGGAACTGGAAAGACGGCGCTCGCACTCGCGATCAGCCAGGAATTGGGTACCAAGATCCCCTTCTGCCCCATCGTCGGCAGCGAAATTTACTCCACCGAAGTGAAGAAGACCGAGGTCCTCATGGAGAACTTCCGAAGAGCGATTGGCCTCAAGGTTCGCGAGACAAAGGAGGTGTACGAGGGCGAAGTTACCGAGCTGACCCCGGAGGAGGCCGAGAACCCCCTGGGCGGATACGGCAAGACCATCAGCACACTTCTCATCGGACTCAAGAGCGCCAAGGGCCAAAAGAAGCTCAGGCTAGACCCCAGCATCTACGAAGCAATCCAGAAGGAGAGAGTCACAGTGGGCGATGTCATTTACATCGAGGCAAACACGGGAGCTTGCAAGCGGGTTGGACGTTCAGATGCCTATGCCACCGAATTTGATCTTGAAGCCGAGGAATACGTACCCATTCCCAAAGGCGAAGTCCATAAGAAGAAGGAAATTGTCCAAGACGTTACCCTTCACGATCTTGATGTCGCCAACGCCAGGCCACAGGGTGGTCAGGATATCATGAGCATGATGGGCCAGCTCATGAAGCCCAAGATGACTGAAATCACAGAGAAGCTTCGTGGAGAGATTAACAAGGTTGTCAGCAAATACATCGACCAGGGCGTAGCTGAGCTTGTTCCTGGCGTTCTTTTCATCGACGAGGTAAGTACACGATAACTGAGGTTGGGGCACATCATACTGACTCGTTCCAGGCGCACATGCTCGATGTGGAATGTTTCACCTACCTCAACCGTGCGCTGGAATCTCCCATTTCACCCATCGTTGTTCTGGCCTCGAACAGAGGCATGACGACGATACGAGGCACTACCGATATTGTGGCTGCCCATGGGGTCCCTACTGACTTCCTTGCCCGGCTTTTGATCATCCCGACAACCGCCTATGATGCCGATGAGATCAAGAGGATTGTGCGCATACGTTCAACGACGGAGGGAGTAGCGCTCACCGACGCTGCCCTCGATAAGATTGCCGAACACGGCGTTCGCATCAGCTTACGATACTGTCTACAACTATTGACGCCTGCTAGGTATGTCTTGCTTGGCCTCTGAAACATGTAGTTGAGCGTCAGTGCTTTTGCTAACCCTTTTCGTGATAGTATTCTGGCCAAGGCCAATGGCCGCACGCAAATTGATGTTCAGGATGTTGCCGAGTGTGAGGATCTTTTCATTGATGCCCGACGCAGCGCCTCGCTCCTCAGCAGCGAGGCCGGCAGCGGCTACATCTCGTAACTTTGGGGAGCAACTGGGGGTCTATCACTGTGGAATTCAGATGGGATTTGGCGTAGGGAGATTTGTCTAAAAATTACAGTTTTTTTTCTTCTCTTTCAAACAAGCACAAAGGTAATTCAGGTACGACGCAGAATATAGCGAAATGTATCAATCAATCAAATCAATCAACCCACGAATCAGCAAGCGGGTCTCGGACAACGAGACGAGCGAGCTGAGCTATTCCTAGACAGGTTCTGGTTCTGGACCGTGATTGTATGTGGGAGAAAGACGGCCTTTGTTGGGGGGGGGTGGCACGGCTTCGTCATTAGGTTGATGGCTGGCGGGCCCAGACGGCGTTAGGAGGGAGACAGCCTCGTGCGCGTCCATGAATCACGGTGACAAGCCTTGCCAACAATGGAGCTGGTGGATTCCCAGAGCGAGCAGAGACGCGAGTCAAAATCCGAGACCCGACTCTGCTAAAACGTACCTCATACCAGGGCATGGCCTTCTGGGCTCCCACATGACCGTGGAATTACCACATCACGATGGCCAGCGGCTGAAAAAAAATTGCACATGGGGATCGGACAAGGCATGCTTTGTTTCCGTCGATTCGGGTACGTGAGGGTGGTCATGATACGATGATGCCTGCTTGCGGTTGGCGCCATTGTCTTTGTCTGAGTCGACACCATTTCACATTCCAGTCACGACGCCTCTCCGCATTCCGGCAGGCAGAGAGACACATACGCACATTGTCGCTTTCGCCCCTCTGAGCGAGGCTGATGAGGGGAGACTAAGCCAACAATGGGGGGAGGGTCGGAAAGGGGGGGAAGAGATCTGTCTCTCGGCATTTTTTGTGCGTGCATGTAATACGTGTTGGACTTGGACTGATGGGAACCTGGATGTGTCCCATGCGTAGAATAGAGAAAGCGAGACAGAACAAAGTAATGCCCGGGCTGACCCCATCCCATCCCATCCCGTACCCTCCTCTTTGGCCCCTTCACCCTAGCTGAAGCACGGCCGCCGCAAACGCAGACAAAGAACGGCTGGGCGCAGCAGAGCCAACCAACGGGCTCCCGAGACATGTAAGGAGGACCCGCCCTACCGTTCCGGCGCTTTCATCCTCTGTCAAAGAAGCGACGAGGCCGATCCCCTCTGATGCCTCTTTGTTTTCGTGCATTGAGTCGAGCTATTTTGGCTCTGCCTGACGGGGTGGTCTTGGCTTGCATGTGAATGGTTGGATGAATGAATCAATGAATCGTGGGCCAACGAACGAACGCGGCAGCCCGATAGAATCGGAGAGTTTCTTGGTGGCAACTCAGATATCCTCCTCGTTTGCAAAGGCCGACCCGACTTACCGATTCCTCCCAGCCCAGTAAGAAGCCTTCTTTCTCTCTCGTTATTGTTCCCACAAGCCTGCCTGGGCCCGTTCAAAGAGATCGGCGCGCCGACAAAGACGTCCTCGAGCAGATGCTTTGCCAGGCCGCCTTTTTGTGTTCGTTTTTTGTCCTCGAACCTTGGCCTCGTCCGGCTCTTCCTTGTCTTCAGCCTCAAGCGCCCCCCCCTCGCTCCTCTCAGCCCTCCCCATCTTATACACGCCCCCTTCCTTTTCTTTCTACTTATCTACCCGTCGTCTGTTTCTGAACACTTTCCTTTTATCCATCCTCGGACGCCGGTCTTTCCTGCTCTACTACTTTGTTCCTCACTACCAAGTGGCCTGCCGGAAGCGCTCCTGGAACTAGCACCGAGCCTTGCGAACATAGCAGAAAGCTCTACGAGAACAGTGCTGTATCGTTGCATGATCGCCAATGTCGCAGGTCGCCACCGCGACTGTTCAGGAGGAGACCGTCATGGTCCGCTCGCCGTTGTATACTACCATCGACGGGCACGACGAGGGCAGTAGCGCCCGTTCGACTGCACCGACTACGCCCGAGCACCAGAGCAGCAGCGCCGCCGTTGAGGGCGTTGGCCGGGGCCAACGCTCGTCCGAGGAGTCACATGCGAAGCAGAAGGCGGGCAACCTCAAGATCAACACCGACGCCGGCCTGGAGGAGGATGCCTCCGACAACGCCATCTGCGTCTGTACACCGGCCCAGAAGGTTCCCAGGCCGCCCAACTGTAAGTGGGAGCGCTGCCCCCCTCCCCATCTCCAATCAAGCTGAATTTGGTCCGAGAAGCACTGTGTTTTTGTGCCCATGCTTTGTTTATTACGTTGCTTTGTCTTTGTCTTTGTTAGAGTGCTCCGTGCTCTTGCCAAGCGCTAACTGGCCACTCTTCCCTTGTAGCTTTCATGCTTTACCGTGCCCAGATGCAAGCCCAGATTTCCGCAGAGAATAGAGGGCTCTCCAACCCCCAGATCTCCCGGATCCTTGGCGACCGCTGGGCGAACGAGCCAGAGGAGGAAAAGGCAAAGTGGAGATCTCTGGCTCACGAAGAAAACAGACGACACCGGCTGCAGTATCCTGGATACAAGTACCAGCCGCGACGCCGGGGCAGCAAGGCAGTAAACAGTGCCGGGGAAGACGAGAGCGGACGATGCCCGAAGTGCAACGGCCGGTTCTTGAGCCGGACGCCGCAAACGCCGGCCTTGCCAGGTACGCCGGGCAGGGACAAGGCTGACCTCCAGTCTTCCCATGCCACTCAGCAGCCCAGCCCCGGCTCGGACGATTCCCAGCACCCCAGATCTGGCGGCTCGTTGTCGGGGGGCTCTGCTCCCATGTCCCTGAAGCGCCTCGGAGACCATCATTTGGGGTCGCCCGAGACAAAGCGACCTCGTCTGGGGGTCTCAACAGCCTCCCGGATCATGCCATCTCCCGAGGGAAGCGCATACGGCCCGATGCCGCATGGGCATTGTGCCCATTCGGCCGCGGGGGAACCCTATAACCCCAACCGGCATCATGTCAACAGCCCCTATCCGCACTATGGAGGAGCGTACGGGAGACATCACCCTGGACCGATGCCACCCCCTCCCCGCCCTCCGATGGGTAGCACTTGGGCCGCGATGCCGCATTACCATGGGGGACGGGATAGCATTGCCGACGAGTCTTTGCGGTTGCCTCCGCTGCAGACCGCCATCCCGCCCTCGATCTCTCCGGCACGAGACTATGACATGAGATATGGCCCCACGCCGGTAACGGCTGGCGGGTATCTGCCCAGTGCGAGAGATTCGCCGGGCAAGAACACTGTAGAACGTATATTGTCCATCCCATATGACAAGAAGTTGGCGGTGCTTGGGAAGATCTGCCCAAGACTCCCGCGCCACGAGGGCGGGACCCCAGGTCCCGACTCGCGTGGGCCGATCATTGTTGTTGAGGGCCTGGAAGATGACCTTCTGAGTTATGTCGGGAAGATTGTCGAGGAGGCGCTCCTGGTGTCCCCGGAGGAAATCGCCCTGAAAGCGTGGGTGAATGAAGTGCCGAGCGACGTCCCGCCCATCCCGAGAGAAGGCGAGAGAGGTGAAGACATGAAGCCGCCAGTCGAGCTTCAGGATCTCCTGCCCTCCATCTTTGGGGCAATTCTCAAGTGGCATGAGAACTCCAAGGAGATGGTCAAACATGTCCAGAGCAGTAGCCATCCAGACCAAAAGGTGGAAGAGGTGGAGGAGGAGAAGAGCGACAAGAAGGACCGGGAGAGTGGTGACGGAAGCTCGGGGCCACCGGCACCGTTGAAAACATCATCGCCCACTCCCGTGGCCCTTGTGAGAGGAGGGTTCAGTCTCACCACGTCTGAGAGGTTCGCCTGCTCGACAAGCCAGTCGCTATCCAATTACAATGCTCGCGATCACTGGCAATGGATGGCGACACTCTGGCGTGGCATCCCAGGGCCGGACTTGATCATCTACATCAAGTCCAGCTCGGAGAGCGATGCAGGGGATTCGAGAAACATCGACTACCTCAAGCAGCTGGGTGTGATAGTCGTGACGATCTCAAAGGACAGGCGCCTCGGCGAGGGGGATGAGCGGCGGTTGGCCTTTGAGGTGATTGAGTGGATGAGATCGGGATGGATTCGGGACAGCAAACCTCGAATCAGATGAAGATGTTGGCGCACTGGCCGCTTAAGTATCTTGTTTTGGAATGGGAAGAAAAGCAATGGATACCAAGGTATCTTGGATTTGCTATCGGGTTTCCGCGCATCTCTTTCTCTATTTCTTTGTTTCTTTTCTTCTGTTGTCTTTTCCCTACCTGGTTATTATCACAAAAAACTCACAGAACTTTACCTATACATAAGGAAAAATGATGATCACATATGGAGCTTGGCGTTTGGTTGTCGGCTGTTGAAACTTTTAATCGAGGGCAATGCGAACTCCATAGCTGGTTCCATGTAATTAATACACATAGCATATAGGTTGGATTGAAATGAAGTCAGTCATGGGGAAGCATTGGTAGAATGGCCTTTGGTTTTGTTGTTCTATTTTGAACCGTGATTTAAACACCCGCCAATAGACTACGTGCTATTCTTGACTAGGTACATTACTGACTGGCCTTATTGACCTGCTAGCCAATGTAGTAAGTATCTTATGTAGTTGGGTTCGTTAATTAGCACCTGGTAGATAGTACCTGAGGCTATATTGTGTGCTAGAGGGTATGGAGGTTAGCATCATCAGCTATAGGTAGCTGCTAGCATTATATGGCAAGAGGACATAGAGATACTCTGCATTGATGGCCAAGCCTCTGCTGCACATCTCACTGGTGCACATTCTGGCACTTTTGGTTTTATTTTCCTTGGACGGAGAAAGTATACAAGTACCACACCTTTCACTAAGCGTACCTGTCTGTCTGACTGCAGAAGCGTGTGAGGGGAAAAGGGGCAGCTGCAGCTCTGGTGGATGGATGGACCCCTGTTGCTTTCGGCTGCATTATTGTCGCGCTCCCGGACGCGTTGCCAGCGAATGACCACAACGTCAATGGCGCATACCAACAGCAGCATGAAATAACACTCCCTACCTATACTATATATTAATGTCCATGTATATACGCATCCAACATACAGCTCTGCCCACGCACCCACGCCCGTCCGCACGCACGGGGCCAGTCTATCATTAACGTCGTCCACCACACATAGTGCATCCGTGCACCTTCGTCGCCTCCAGTCTCCGTCTCTGCCCCCATCCACCACGCACAACGATTGACACGAGCACGACGTCACGATGCTCCCTCGGCTCGACGCCGACCCTCTACCGTTATAATGCCAGATTTCAAGATAGGGCAGAAGGTCAAGCTCCAGGATGACCGCAGGGCCACTGTCCGTTTCGTGGGCCAGACCAGCTTCCAGGTCGGAGAATGGATCGGTGTCCAGCTCGAGGAGAAGACGGGGAAGAACGACGGCAGCGTCCAGGGCCAGAGGTACTTTGACTGCCCCATGGGCTACGGCATGTTCGTCAAGCCCATGATGGCCACCATCATCGAGCCTCAGCCCGCTGCCGCCGCCGCGAAGCCTGCAGCTCGGAAGCCTGGTCGGCCCAGCAGCTTCAACCCGGCCGCGGGGAGGATTTCCACGAGTGGCGATACTGCTTTGACTAGAAGGAGAAGCTTGAATGCCCCGAGTCCGAGCCCGGTACCTAAGACGTCCCGGCCGTCGAGCATGGTCAGGGTGAGTTGGTTGGTGGAAGCATTGCGTGTGATTCTGGCACATTGATGCAGTTTGTCCTGGTGTTTGTGCGACTCTACGATGCTAACGTTGTTTCTTTCCCAGTCTCCTACGAAATCCCCGACGAAGCAGCTCAGCGGTCCGCCGAGCGCATCCACATCTCGCACCGGCACCCCATCGAATGCCCGCACGACCTCGGCTGCATCGAGATCTCGCCCCTCCGTAGGAGCAACGAGGACGTCTATGGGACCCCCCGCTGTACCGGCGTCTCGCACTGCTCGCCAAGTATCGTCTGGAGCCCCCGCTCGCACAACCACCGGCCTGACCAGAACCGCCAGCGGACGTACCTCTCTCGCAGGGCAACGTACGACATCGAGGACGGAGCAGAACAGGAGACCCTCTGGCGATTCGCAAGCTGGGAGAGACAGTGGGCGGGAAGATGAGACGGGGGCCATGTCCCCTCTTAAGACGGAGATTCTTTCGCCCCAGCCCAGAAGCCCCGTGGCTGCCAGATCCAATGCCGTCGAGCGGCTTACTGCTGCCACGGCAGGCCCATCGGCGGCCTCAGGAGCAAGGAGAGTGAGCTCAACGGTAGGCGCCCCGCGTGCCACTGGGAGCGTCGCAGCGGCAAACAGAGAAATAGAGGATTTGAAATCCAAGATCAAGGTGTTGGAAAGGAAACGGATCGAGGACCGGGACAAGTTAAAACAGCTTGAGCAGATTCAGGGCGAGAGAGACAAGTACGAGAGCGTGGTGCAGAAACTGCAGCAAAAGTACCAGCCTCTGCAAGAGGAGAACAATGAGCTACGGAAAATGATGAAGGAGGCAGAGGCAAAATTTGAGTCAGTGGAAGAGATGCAGGCCGAGCACGAGTCCCAGCTCGAACTTGCTGCCCTCGACCGGGAAATGGCAGAGGAAATTGCCGAAGTGCTCAAGGGCGATCTAGAGGCCCTCAAGCTGAAGACGGAAGAATTAGAGCTCGAAGTCGACGTGCTCCGCGAGGAGAACGAGGAATTCCAGAACGGAATGACCCCCGAAGAACGTGCCGGCGCCGGATGGCTTCAGATGGAACGAACCAATGATCGATTACGCGAGGCCCTTCTCAGGCTCAGAGACATTACGCAGGAGTCAGAGGAGCAGCTCAAGCAGCAGATTGCCGGGCTCGAGGATGAGCTGAGGGAATTGACGTCGATAAAGGAGATCCACGAGGCAACCGCCGAGAAATTGACTAACAGCGAGGCGGTTGTTGAGGACCTTCGCCAACAGCTCGACAATGCCCTTGGGGCCGAGGATATCATCGAGGACCTCAGTGAGCGAAACATGAGTCTCTCGGAGCAAGTGAAGGAGCTTCAGGCAGTGGTGGACGACCTTGAAAGCCTCAAGGAGATAAGCGACGAGCTCGAAGCGAACCATGTTCAGAATGAGAAGGAGCTTCAGGAGGAAGTTGATTTCCGAGACGCCATTATTGCAGAGCAAGCCCGTCGGTCTGCCGACCAGGACCAGAATCTTGGCGATCTCGAATATACCTTGTCTCGATTCCGTGAGCTCGTCACAAACCTGCAAACCGACCTTGCAGATATGCGCGCATCCCAGGCGGTCACAGAGGGCGAATCCGAAAAGCTCAACGATCGCTCTCGCGCAATGATGGATCTCAACATGAAGCTCCAGATATCTGCCGCCAAGGCGCAGGCCAAGACTATTGACCTGGAGTTGCGACGGCTCGAGGCACAGGAGGCAGAGCAGCACCTTGAAATTGTCAAGCTCTTCTTGCCAGATACCTACAAGGAAGACAAGGACTCCGTACTGGCTCTTCTCCGATTCAAGCGGTTGGCCTTCAAGGCGAGCCTCCTCAACGGCTTTATCAAGGAGCGTGTCAACGGCAAGCCCGACCCCGGCCACGAAGACGACACCATTGCTGGCTGCGATGCTCTTGATAAGCTGGTCTGGGTATCTTCTACATGTGATCGCTTTGTCAACAACATCAGCCATTGCTCCATTGAGCAATTCACCAGGTACCAGAATGCTCTTCATGAGCTGGAGCCAGTAGAGCGGGCTCTCAACTCATGGATTGATGGCCTTCGTCGCGATGAGCTCAAGGTGCAGAAGTGTGCCGATGAGCTTCACCGCACCATGGCTCTCATGACGCACTTGGCTGAGGTCCACATCGTTGACGAGCTGCCAAGCTTTGCGGACGAATTACATACCAAGTCTCTTGTCATCCAGAGCCACCTCGAGTCCGCGGCTGTGGTATTCACTACCGTGAGGGACATGGCGCAGAGGGCTGTGCCTTCAGAAGGAGAGGAGGACGAGCTGGCACAGCACTTTGCTAAGAGGACAGACCTGGCGATCACACAGACCAGAGGCACCAAGGTCATCGCTGGCAAGATTGTGAGAGCTCTTGAGGAACTCAAGGATCGATCACTTTCGCTGCTGCCAGAGACCAGAGAGGCGTTTGAGCAGTGTGAGTCGATGACTGAGGAGCTTGCAGGCCTCGCCCGCCAGATTGGTGTTGGTGTCCATGGCCTCATCACCAAGGACGAGTCGCGGTCCGAACCATTTACCTACATCGAGATCCAAGAAGCCATCCAGAAGACAGTCCTGGCGGCAGTGTCGTCAAACGACTCCGATACCTTCTCGGAGTACCTCAACAAGCTCCGCATTGCGGGCAGCCAGATCTCGGACTTGGCAGCCGTCGCGACGGATCTTGACCAGGCACAAGAGTTCGACGTCAGCCCCGCTCCTTGGCGCTTGCGATCCGAGGAGCTCAAGAACCTCAGGACGGTGCCCGTCGATGCCGAAGAGGAGCTCAGGAAAGTTAAGGAGGAGCACCAGGAGGCTCGACGCGCCATCGCCCTGCGTGATGAGCATCTCAGCACGGCCAGCGTCAAGATCGAGACGCTCGAAGCCAGGATGCGCGATGCCCAGGCCAACATTGACCGCATCAGCAACCTGCAAGTCGAGCTCGAGGCCTCGGGAGAGCAGGTCTCGAGCCTCAAGGAGGACATCGAGAAGCAAGATAGAGAGCTCAGAAGCCTCGAGACCGAGCGCGACAAGTGGAAGAAGATTGCCAGCGACAGCCAGGCTTTTGCAGACGGCGCCGACGCGGCAGGGGCCAAGGCAGGCCAGGAGCGTGCCCACGCCAATGCCAAGGAGGTGGACACCCTCAAGAAGAACATTGAGAGCTTGCAATCTGCTATCAGGTATCTGCGCGAGGATAGCCGCCGTGCCCGCATGACGGAGCAGCCCAAGCTCGACTGGCTGGCAGAGCCTCTGGTGAAGCCAGCCCGGGTGGCAGACCAGCGCAAGGCCCTGGTCGCCTCGGAGGGCAAGGATGTCCTCGGCGAGCTGGTCAAGATGACCTCCACGGCCACGCTGTTCGACTTCAAGTCCCTGCCCAAGGACAAGATGGTGTGGAGGCCGGCGAGATCGACGCCCCAGTACCACGCGGCCAAGCAATTGGAAGACTACGAGGCCTGGAAGGGCTGGCAGGATGCCGTGGTGAGGAAGGCGGGGATGCTCAAGCCCGGGAGCGAGAGGAAGGCCGATTCCGCCCACCGCAAGCCCGCGGCACTCTTGCAGGTCAGGCTGCCGGATTCAGACGGCAGGAAGATGGCGAACGGCGCTCGAGGCGGGGTGCACATTGTAGGATCACGGAAGTGGGAGGCTTTACAGAGTCGAGTCACAGTTGTATGATGATTACGAAGAAGAAGAAGAAGACCACCTCATTACACATTTGGTTCCATTGGGAGCGAGGAAAGGGATAGTTAGTATATACCCCCCCACCTTAGACTTTTACCTCCTGCTTGCGATCTGTATTTAATTCTCTACATCCCATTCTTTCGTTTCTCATGATTCATTTCTGCTGCTGACCTCTGTCCAGTATGTTTTATTTTCTACCTAGACTAGGCAATTATCAAGCGAGTAGCTTTCTTCTTCTTCTATCAAAACCGAATATCTCTCTCATCTATGCAATTCTGTGAAAGCTGTATATGGTCCGCATATCGGCTGATTGGATGAAAGTTCACTAGGACGGCCCATGGCTCCCCAATGGGCTGGCCTCAGGTCTGGTTCTTGGGGATTTCGTCCCATCCCACACCAAGAGCCTGGTTTTGTCGTTCGGAGGCTGATAACGATATCGTCATTCCCCCCCTCTCCCCATTTCCGTCCCAAAGAAAACAAGTAGGTCCTAGCTTCGTTCAAGCCCTGCCCTTCTTCTTGTCCTTCTTCTTCTTCCCGCTCCCGCTGCTCTCCTCCGCCCCGCTGCCAGCCCCGCTACCACCACCGCCACCGCCCATGCCGCCCATCAGAGCAGACATGGGGTCGCCGCCGCCCTGCATCTCCTTCATCATGTCCTTGAACAGGTTCTCCGACACCCCGCCGCCCGTCATGGCGGCGCTGGTGTAGGGCAGCAGGTCGCCGAGCTTCCACCCCCGCGGGACCGCCGGCCGCGGGTACGGCTTGCCCAGCTCGGGCTCCAGCTTGCCGCCGATGCGGACGCGCAGGCCCAGGCTGTCGTCGACGGTGGGGTTGTCGCGCAGGTGGCGCGCGACGAGGATGAAGAGGTGGTGCTTGTTGTGCAGGGGCACGTTGGCGCCCGAGCCGGCGGCCTTGAGCCCGACCTTGATGCGGCCCGGGTTGGCCCAGTCCTGGGGGTGGATCTTGTCGGGCTCGAGGAGGGTGGGCAGGCGGAGGCGGGAGCAGGCGTTGGCGATCTCGCGGGCGAGGGGGTTGGACACGGCGAGGGAGGCGGGGACGCGGCGGCCCTCGGAGCGGGAGCGCGAGGCGTCGAAGTAGATGGGGTAGAGGCACTGGTAGTCGGCGTAGTGGGCGCGGTCGGTCGAGGGGTGGAGGGAGTCGGTGGCCAGCTGCAGTTGCTGGGCCTGGACGGGGGGAGCTGCTGCTCGCGGGGCGGGCGAGGGCTGTTTGGCGGCTGGCTCCACGCGGCGCATGATGTCGGCGTCGTCGAAGTCGTCGATGTCGACCTCCTCGGGATCCGAGGAGGGGTCGCTGTCGGAGACTTCTTCCACGCGTGGGTGCGACATTGCGGGCGCTGGTTGGGTTTGGCTGAGGTGGAAGTGGTGGGTTTGTAAAGAAAAGGTGTCGATGTCTAATGGTGGGGAATGTATATTTCTAGGGTAGGAAATGCTGTGGTGGGGTCCAAGCTAAGTTCCGTGTGGGGAGAGTCCAGCCAACGTTGATATATCCTTTCTGACTGCACAATCTACACCATCTTACACCAAGGTTGATGTTAGATCCGCCGTTTACTAGCATCCCCGTTTCGAAAAATAAAAGCAAGCACAAAGGAAGCTAATTGGAGTAGCTAAGTGCGCGAGCAGTATGCGTATTACCACTATTATATGGAACCTTGAACAGCCGTCCACGCAAAGTCAAATGAAGGGCAACCAAAGAGCAAGATCTCCCAGGATCGAGCCCCCAACCAATGATCCGAAATCGGCTATCCATCCCATAGAAGCAAGGAAAAGGACACCGGCATACCAGCCCGCCGTGTCCCAAGAAAATGCACTCGTCCGTTCCCTAGTGTGTTTCTCGCAGAGCAATCTGACCCAGTCTTGATACCCGTCTCCCCAGCTCTGGCTCAGCGGTACTTCCCAGAATACCTCGCCGCCATCTTTATAATCGTACAGTTCCTTATTATTTTTCGCCAGACCCCATGCTCTCTCCCCACTTGTGGTGGTGGTTTGTATTGTATATGAGTCCAGCAGGTGCCTTCGGCTTTCCCCGAATCTCTAATTCTTGTCAATGTGTGCGTTCTTAAATTTGGTACCGGGGGGATGACAAGAAATTGGAAATTTGCAAAACGGATGCGTGCATGTGTTGTCCTTAACGCTTGGGCACTGGAGGAGATATTACTGTCAGTGATTGAAGACTCTTTCATCCACCGTCGGCAGGGCGACAGGAGGAGCGAAACTTGATGGAACTCACGTGATGTCCGTAAATGCACTCTTCGGCTTCACAACTCTGACCCAAGGTACAAGGGTTCAGGCGAGTTAAGAAGGCAATTGCATCAATTTCATCCGGGGTTGGCCTGTACTTGTGAACAAAGGTGCAGCCGTCCCCCTTCGTGCAGGGGCCGCGGAGGAAGTGGTTATTGCAGAGCTTGCTGCTGTCCTTTCGCTTCTTCACAGTCTCCAAAACAACGGGATTAACGTCGATTGGCTCGTCATAGCCACGAGGTCCCGGGTTCCATTTTGGCTGCTGCGGAGTTTGCGGCCGCTGCGACGCCTGTTTCGAGCGAGGATTGACACTTGCGGATCGCGGCGCCAATGGCAATGTGATTTGGGGTGGTGGGCTGGCCGGTTTCACTTTTTGAGCCATGTCCGCATATGATGAGAATGGTGAAGCTGTGGAAGCCGACGCAGGAGGTGTCAGCGCAGGAGGCACCGCCCTTGACAGGTCAGGTGAAGATTCGACGGGGGAAGCTGCGTTGATGTCGGGCAGCCTGTCACTGCGGAAAATATCATTCTTCATGCGGAAGACATTGACCCGAGTAGCAACCAGTTCTTTGACGGTAGGAACACCTTCCAGCACGGTGACGCGCTGGCGAGCAAGCTCGTTTTGGAGGATGTCGTTGAGGAACGGAGCATATGAGGCCTCGTGGGATATACCGAGGAGAACTTGCTGGCAATTGAGATTGTGTAGATGCCATTTCGTAGTTTCTGCCGGCCATGGGTCAGTGATCTGAACCTGAGGACAAAGCTGGGTGTTGAACGAGCCGAGACGACTTACCCTTGATCTTAATCTCTGCGCTCTCACGATCACAGCCCATGTCGATGAATTCAAACGAGGGTTGCGACTGTGTGAAGCCCAGGGTGAAATCCTTCAGCTCTGCCCAGTGTTCGATGACTCCATCTTGAATTAGGGCTTTGGACAGGGTTCTAATACTGGTCACGATCTTGGCCGAGATTTCCATCTCATTGCACTGCTCAGCAACGGCATCTCGTAGAGCCTGCGCAGCTTTCTTGCCCCCTTCGACGCCTCCTTTCACGAACTTTTCTTGAAACTGCGCAGAGGCTATGTTAGCTGACCGCCAATTCCAGCAAAGGAGCCCCTAGGACGTGTGGGAGAAACCAATTGACGTACAACGAGGCCGTCTCCATCAATGAGGATTGCAATATAAGGATTGGAAATCTGCGGATGGGCCAAGTCAGTAATGCGTATAAAGGGAAAACCGCCCTATAAGCATCAGACAAGGAGGAAACCCACGTGACCCTGTCTAAGTCTAAAATATTCATTCTCATAAACCTGCGCTCTCTGTTGGAGCTGTCTCCTCGATTCCGCGGCACCGGCAAGGTCGGTATTCAGACCGTCATTCTCTTTGGAGAGGCGCAGGTTCTCGCTCGTGAGTGTCTCAACGTGCTTGCAATATGCGATCAGGTCCTTGAGAAGGTGAGCTTCCGAGACGTTCTGAAATAAAATAAAATAACGACCATGGCGTTCTGCGAGGCTGAGATGGCCCTTACTTTGATTAATTTGTTTGAGGCATCCTGGTTGAACTGAATGTCGTGAAACCGTTGGATAAATTCTGTGGACTCCGTTTCTGGTGCCATTTTTCGATTAATGGAGGACGGCCGAAAAAAAAAAGACTTTTTTTTTTTTTTTTTTTTTTTTTCGCTTTTGCCCTTTATCCTTAAAATCACGCTATTTTCCAACGTATCCTGTACCCGCCAAACAGAATTGACTTTGGAAAGGGTAAATATTTAGCAGGCTGGATGCAGGCTCAGATGTGAGAAAGAAAAACGGTAGGTGGTCGGCATACGACTGTGAAGGGTCGGTGGTCAGGGCAAACGCAACCACAATTCAATGGTGAATGCAGCAGCAAATGCGATGTGGATTGTGAGCAAAAAAAGGCGGATCGGCTGCAATCGCGTGAACAGTAGATGTCGGCGGGTGAGAAGTGGTACTTAACGGTTTATAAAAAGGCTTCTGGTGCTTCCAGGCAGTTATTACATTTACAAAGAGAATGGGAGAAGTGAAGAGCAAAAAAAATGATAAAAAATCCTGGTTGTTAGAATGTGGTTATTCAAAGCGCAAAGTGTATGTTAATTCAAGATCTCGTCTCCACAATTTTATTGGATAGCAGAGCTTATCGACACCGGCCAAGGAACCTTGAAACCTCCCCAGGACCACCTGCTAACTGTGTACCGGTGCTATTGTGCTTTTTTCTTTATTCTAATGGCTTGGGACGTCTTCAGCCAGCAACCCAAGACGTTACCTCCGTCCTGGGAAGTACCTGCAGGCGCTGGCCAGCCGCTGGATGCAAGTGCGGTGGGGCCATGTCCATGAGCTGAGGCACCTATAATTAAATTGACAATGTCAATCGACAGGGAGCTGACCTGATGGCCTCTCCTGCGGCCACCCTCTACACGCGCAGGCAGCAGAATTGTCAATACACTGCTTCCCGTTCGCGACAATGTGGAGATTTGGTGTGCCACTGCGCACCGCTAGGGCGAACGCCTCATTGACTGGCGTCCTTGTTCTGATGCAACCTGTTTTCAGGCACAGATACACACATGTAGGTGAGGACTGGCCTGGAGGTTGTGAGGTAGCAGCAGAGCTCTCGGACTGCAGTGCAAACTTGCCATGATTGACAATCTATGACAAGGCCAAGCATGAGATTCTCGTCTGCATACATACCTCCTAAGTAGGTAGTATAGTATATGCTATGTATGTATACGGCATTGCTGCCGTAGATGCCCCATTCCATCTGTCGCCTGACAGTGGCTTGACTAGCTGCGTTTGTGCTACTCCGGATTCACACGGCGACGCACACGGCCTGCAAGTTGGTTCCCCCGATTGCATTGCACTGTGATTAATATTAATCATGTACTGTAGTTGCTATGTATATATTCTTGGATGTGATGGCCCCCTGAATTACGTATGTCTATACCTGCAAAGTACCTCCCTTCCGCTTCATCTCTCAGAGGCCGGCACGTTTCACAAAGCGCCTCCACGCCAGAGATGGGCGGTTCCGTTGACCCAATTGGCTCCCGCCGGACCAGCCTCAGCTTTTTTGTCTCAAGTGATTGGGCGACGCCTTTTCAGCAAGTCTAGCTAAAGCTGAGCTGCTCAGGCGGGCTATGCATCGTCCATCAGCCGCTCTCCAGTCACCAATGACAACCAATCCAAAGCTGACGTGCCGTGTTTGAATTGGCCCAAGGAGGGGCCGTGAAAATCAATCAGCATGCGTTTGCCACTATGCGCGTATACCCGAGTGTGACTAGCTAGCAAATAACTTATGCAGAAATCGCACCATTTCCTTCGTTGCAAAAAGCGTCTTGAAATTTCAGGCCTCCGATGACTACTTCATTGATGCGTCCCGCGCGTTCAATTGCTTAGCCAAAACTATCGACAGGTACTTCAACCGCAATTTCGCCTGAGCGACGTCTCTCACGGTACTCCTTGAAGAGCTAGCAAGTGGCTGTGGAACTTGACCAGGGTTGTACACACGCTTTATATTTTCCCCTGTAAATCGAACGAGGTATCATGTACATAACTCCCTACCGTGATCAAGAAACTGTGATCCCTATATATTATTTCCAACCTGGATCGAACACCTGCCATCCCAATACATGACCAAAAAGGGCTTATAGCGCCATAGTCTGAAGAAGTAAAACAACAAGACTGAACTACCTGAAGGGGGGATATCGTATTTAACTTTCATTTGATTTCTGGACTGCTGTTCTCGGTTCTCGCGGCACTGGTAGAAGAATAGGCCGCGGCTGGAGATTTTCTTCTTCTCATCGAACTCGCTCAGTGTATGCCTTCCAAGCTGCAGAGCGATACCTCTCAGCCTCCTCTTGAGGGTCGCCAGCTTTGAGAATTCCACGTCCAACAATGACGATATCAGTCCCGGCGATCCCAACAAGTTTCTGGGGGGTGTTATATTGCTGTCCCTTTCCATCTCCTTTAACTTCAGTGCCCTCTTCTTCCTCCTCGGGGGGAAGTTGACATCCTGGGGTCATGTGGATAAAATCATCTTCGGGCAGGGTGTTGAGGCTTTGCTGTGAAACAAAACCCATGA